ATTTATATAGCTATTTAGAAAGAAAGTTATTATAAGGAATTGGCTCTCATGATTATGGAGGCTGAAAAGCCCCAAGATCTACAAGCTGGAGACCCATGAGCACCAATGTTATAGTTCCAGTCTGGAGGCCAGGAGGCTGCAGACCCAGAAAATGCCCTTGTTTTGGTAAGAGTCCAAGGGCAGGAAAAAAATTGATGCCCCATATCAAAGGCAGTCAGGTAGGGAAAGTTCCCTATTACTCTCCAGAGGGTCAGCCTTTTTGTTCTATTTCGGCCCTCAACTGACTTAATGAGGGCCACCTGCATCAGAAAAGGCAATCCTCTTTACTCAGTCTACTGATTCAAATGTCAGAGACAAACCATGAAATGGGTAGTAGGAAGGGTAGAAGACCAGTCAGAGAAAATTACATCACCTACACCACAGGGATCTATGAAAGTGCATATGAGAGAAAGAGCTTTAAACACCTACCAGGCTTAGAAACAGAAAGCTAACTTGGCAGTATTGAACAAGTAATTTTTTGATCCCTATTTTTATCCCTTCTGTCTTTCCCTAATCCTAGAGGGTCTTAGAACTTATGTTTCTGGGAATAAAATATTATTTTCTTTAGCTTTTCTTTATTCACCCTCAATGCTTTTTAAAAAATCAGTTTTAAAAATAGCTTAACTCATATTTGTCAGATTATTCTCTTATTCTGACTTTAAAGAGGATTCATACTACTACATGCAGTTCATTATAATTTGCAAATTTCTAGTCTCTGTGGGTGTGTCCCCAGCTGCATAAAGGATTCTATTTGGAAATACAAGATAAATGAAAAAGGAGACCATGGAGCCGTTGCTCTGTTTTCTTCCTGATGGTTTTTTCCTTGCCAAACCAATTAACTAAACAAGCTGAGTTTCAATTCTAAAAATAAAAAACATGCATTTACAGTTGTCCAAATATGTTTTCATTTTCATACATAAAAGGAAATACTACAAGGATTTAATTATAACAAGACTTTGACATTTGTGGCATAAATGTGATAGGTTAGTTAATGTTTGTGTACCTTCTCTAAATAAAGAAACAAACTAAAGGATCTAGCAAGCCAGCCTGAGAGCTGTCCAGCAGGTGACAAGCTGAAAATTTGTCATATGGATTCCATAATAGTAGCAATTAGCTGGCAGTTCCTGCACTCATCAGGCAAAAATGCTGTCATTCCTTGTAGAATTTTGTAGTACAGAGAAGAGGTATTAAGGAAATTAATGCAGTCCTACGGAGGTGTTAACTGTTAAATAAAATAAAATAATTACTAGCAGCCTATAATGGTGAAGTGTGGGATTTACTGCAAGAATCCATGAATGAGGACCTAAAATATTACTTTCAGAGGGATAAGACTGAAGGCCCTCAGCAGTTGCCTTCACTTCATTCTACAAATGTTTTAAACTTCTAAGGTCAGCCGGTGTTAGGCAGACAAGGATGAGAAGGATCCTGTTGGGAAATGATGCAAAATGAGGTAATGAATAAAAATAAGTGCAAGGATTTTCCAAAGAAAAAATTTTCCAAATCCTGATTGGAATGTCAGCCAAAGGATCATATCTTACTTAAAATCTTCTAACTCTGAGTATTAACTATGTCATCCAAGGTTTCTCACAGAAAGAGACTATTTTAAAAAGAAGAATTATTTTTCTTTTTCCTGCTTTTAAAGATAGCTCATAAAAGGCTAATGGACCATATTTAAAATCCAATTATGTTTCTAGAATTACAGGTTTCATAGATTCATTCTATTTATGTATTGATAAAATGGAAACAAAGCAATGAAAATCTGCCAATACCCAATTCTCTCTCTCTCTCTCTCTCTCTCTCTCTCTCTCTCTCTCTCATTTCCATTTGTTATAATGAACAGTTACTTCAGCTTGGAACACTCTTTGATTTGACTCTCAGTTTAGATACTCCTTCCTCTAGAAGTATTTTCTTGACTCTTCCAGACATTAGAAACTTTTAAAAGAACTTGGAACTCTTCCCAAAATATAGGATTTGTGCAAAGGCACATTAGAAGAATATAAATGTTTGATGTTCTGAATGTGCTTACAGAGTATATTTCTTCTCTGATAGTACTTAGCACATATCATATTGGATTAATTTATTAAATTTTCTCCTTTAATCTTATAAATGCTATGAACACAGATGACTTGGCTTCATTGTTCACTGTTATATCCCCAGGGCTTACTGATACATAGTAAGAACTCCAGAAATATGTGGAAGGAAATGATAAATGAACTCAAATTGAGCATTCACAAAAATTCACATAGTGAAATTCTGACTTAGAAAATAAACCTGAAAGTTTAGACAGCATTGTAAAAATAAGAATAAACTAACCAAAGCATCAGAAACCAGAGAGGGATGGCTTATGTAAACCAAACATTCAGAGAAAACTATTAAAAATGTGGGAAATAGCAGCAAAACTTAGCAGTAGAAAAAGAAAATTCAGAAAGTGAATTCATAAACAAAATGACAATTGTACCCATTATTTTGTCATGATTTTTTTAAAAGTGTTAAATGAAACCATCTATTTTGTATAGGAAGTCACAAAACAGAAAGAAAAGAGCTCAGGACACAGTAAGACCACAGAAGACAAAGTGTGAGCTGTTAGAACTAGGGAAAGAAGTAGAAAAGTACAGAAATGAAGACAAAGTTTGAAGGAACACAAAGGAAAACATAAACTGATAAAAATATAATAAGTAGCAGAGAGCAAAAATTTAAGAATAAAACATGAAGAAATGGAGTTAAAGACAATGCTGGGAAGAATTAGAGAGACTGCAATAAATACAGAAGACAGGCAAAAGAAGACAATATGTGCATAAGTGGAGTGTTCAAAGGAAAACAATGAAAAAGAAATGTACAATTCCAGAAAAATTACAATGTACAATTACAATGTACAAAATTAAATGTACAATTCCAGAAAAATTTCACTGAATACACATAATGGAAGAGTACACTGTCAGCCAGAGTAAAGCAACCCAGAATGGTCAAACACTAGGCTACATTCTGGTCAAGTTATTAGACTTTAATAATACAGAAACAAGTAGGAAAAACAAACAAAAAAGAAGAAACAGACTTAACATTTTTCTTCAGCAATAGAAAATACCAGAACAGAGTTGAGCAATATCTAAAAGATAATCAAGAGAGAAAGTATAAGCCCAGACTTTATTAAAACCTGAATACAAAGTTAGGGTTTGTAGGACAAGCTGGCCTACAAGTGTAAGACACAATAATTCTAGAATATTGTTTCCATGAACTTTCTTGAGGACCTACTTGGGGAATTGCTGGAGAAATCATTTTTTAAAAAGTCAGTGAAATTGAAATAGCCTAATTATGGAACTTAGACTGAAATAAAAATGGAAATTAAAGCAGTTGAACTACATGGTTTCTATTTTCATTGCTCTTTATTTCCTCCTGCATCTTTTCATTTCCTTCTGGAAAAGTTATTCTTCAGCCTGAATAAAACCCCTTAGTATTTTCTTTAGAGCTGTGTTACTGAGGACAAATGTTCACAGTTATTGACTATCCAAAAATTTATTTACTTCACTTTCATTTGCAATGACATCTTTCACTTAACAAAGGAGCTTTTATTGGCATTTAGAAGTTACTATTCCATTATCTTTAAGATCACATTTTTTCCGAGCAAGAAGTCATCCGCCAGTGATCATTGTTGCTTTCAGTTTCATGTGTTTTGTTTTTTATTATTCAGCTGCTCTTACCATTTTCTTATATTTGTTATAATATTCTATTTTTATCTTCTCTCTCTTCATTCCTACTTCTATTAGAATGGCTTGCTTACATATCTTATGCTTCCTTATTTTCAGTATTGAAGAGTTCATGCTCATTCTGGATATTTTCTTCTAACTTGCTTATTCATAAATGTTCTTCTCTGTATCTAATGTGCTACTAAATCTTTGCCACTTATTTCTAAATTTGTTTATTATATGTTTTGTCCAAAATATCAGTTTTTTATAGTTTCTAGTTCTCTGTTAAATTTTCAATTATATATATTATCTCCTTTAACACAGTAAACTAGTCATTTCAGCGTCTTTCAGCGCTCCAATATTTGGAGCCCTGTGAATTTTTTCTATTGCTTGTTTCTGCTGAGTTTTTTTCAATCAGTCTTTTCTCATTATATGCCTGTATGTCTTGGACAGTTTTGATTAAGTTCCAGACTTTGTATGTGCAAAATTGATTGTATAAATAATTTTATTAGGGTCTAAGATAATGTCATCTTCCTTCAGAGATAATTTATCTTTTCTATCGTTTCTACCAGGGCACCAGAGACATGGGATTACTTTTATCTACTTTCAGAAACTGAAACATTCCAAAGCTTACCTCAGTCTCTCTGAGAGTCTTTCTGTATCCACCTTACCTTCACTCAGGTTGCAGCCCTTTGGGACCCCTCCTCAAAGCTATAGGTCTCCACCAGACCCAAATCTCCCTTGCAGGCCTTCCACTCCAATTTTTGCTCTCCCCACAGTCTGGAATAATTTTAGAGTTGTATTCTTTTCTGACAAGATTCACAAGTAATAATTTTACGCAAAGATTTAATTATAAAAATGAAGAAACTATCACAGTGTTAGAGGAAACTGTGGGGGCTGGGCCTAGAAGAAAGGATGAACAGATGGAAAGAACGCGAGCAAGGTGAAGGAGAGGTCAGGTGGAAACACCTGCTTCGAAGCTGCTCGTTTGCTGTGTGCGAAGGTCAGCTGAAACAGCTGACCTGTATGGAAGTTGTTAAATTAGCAAAGGGCCCTGACCCTTTGTGTGTGTCCTCGGAAATAAATACGGGGAGGAAATTAGCTGAGGAGGCCATTTTCTCCTTCGGATGTTGGCCTCTCCTCTTTTCTCGAAACACTATGCACAGGAGTGGAAAGCAGCCGCGACAAGCGGTGACCCTGGCGTGATTCAGGAACCCGCGCGTCCAATGACCGTTTCTGTCGTCCAGACTGCAAGAGGAATCGTCCAGGTGAGGGACAGTCCCACCCGCTGCTTTGGGAAAGGGACCGATGCGTGCAGTTTCGGGAGGAGATTACTGACATAGGGCAAGAGCTGACCGAACATCAGCGAATCTATCTGCGCACCTTGCAGCAGCTCCTAAAAGCTGCTCAGTGTTCTGTTGAGCCGAAAGCCTTACAGCAGCTCTTACGCGCAGTAAGGCGACATTGCCCGGGCTCCCAATGAGGCCACATTAGATTTGGAACTCTGGGAGCGAGTAGGGGAGTTTTTAAAGAAGAATTTGGGTCAGGGGGTTCCTGTGCCCCTTGCGGTGTTAACCACCTGGAGTCTGGTGCAAAGAGCACTGACTCCCTTACCTGTTTTTATGGGTTCTAATCCGTCGGAACCTGCTCCTGCTCTGCCATCTGCTCCTCCAGAGGAGCTGGTGTCCCCTGGCATAAAATTACCAAATCCTGAGCCATTCTCTCCACCATCGCCTTCTGTGGCTGAACAGGAGGAACAGCTATCATCGCCCCTCCCCCACAAAAAAGGGGATCTCTATTCTTTCCCTGGTAAACCATCCACTTTTCAACATTGTCTCCAGGATGGCCAATCTTCATGGGGAAGATTTGCTAGAACAATGGAATCTTCCAACACCCAGCGTTTTCATTAGGGGCCACTGCTCAGGTGCATCCAATACAACCCATACCTTTACAATGGACTACTAATTCACCCATCTGGATAGAGCAGTGGCCCATTAAGCAAGATAAATTAAGACATTTAAAATCTCTTCTCCAGGACCAACTTAAAGCAGGACATATAGAACCTTCGCTGAACCCATGGGACACTCCTGTATCCATCATACCTAAAAACAATAAGTGGCGATTACTGCAGGACCTAAGAGCTCTTAATGCTATTATAGTCCCAGTGGGAATCTCTACAACCTGGCCTTCCACAATTGTCATTAATTCCAAGATTGGCCTTTAATTGTAATTGATTTAAAGGATTGTTTTTTCACAATTCCTCTAGCGAAACAAGACCCAGAAAAATTTGCATTTTCTGTTCCCACTCATAATAATGCTCATCTGGTCGACAGGTGTCACTGGAAAGTCCTGCCACAAGGAATGTTAAATAGTTCCACTATTTGTCAATATTATGCTCATCAAGCTCTACTCCCTTCTCGGTGCCAGTTCCCATCTGCTATCATCGATCACTATGTGGATGACATATTATTAGCTCCTACTCAAGCAGAATTATTGTTTGCCCATGTACAAATGTGTGCTGCTGTCCATGAGCTGCAAATTGCCCCAGACAAAATACAACTTACCCAACCCTGCCACTATCTTATTTATCTACTTTTTCATGTTCACTGTGACCCCAACAAATGGCAATCTCCTTGCCTTCTACCCTGACACTACATTTATTACAACTTTTGGGACATGTGAATTGGATACATCCTACTTTAGGAATTACTAACAAATACATAATCTTACTAATACATTAAAGGGTGGTCCAGATCCATCTTCACCTTGTTCTCTAACATCTCTGGCATTACAGGAATTCCACACTATCAACAAAGTCGGTAATCACTGGCAACTGTCGTCCATCACAAACCCTTTTATGTATCTTCAACACCCCCAACTGCTCCTTTGGCCAATTAACACCTCACATTGCTCCCCTGGAATGGATATTTATACCTCATACTCCCCCCAAAACCTTTTCTCCCCTTCTAGATCTCCTTAAAAACAAAAGGGGGAGTACCCTCCCCCCCCACAACAAAGAGTAGCAAAAATATACACTCAGTTTTTTTACTTGCTCAGTTTCCAGCTGCCCTCCATTGCAGTCCTCTGTCATAACACCTCTCTTTCTGGATCCCAACTGAAGCCCAGCAGAAAGTGTGGATATGGTGATGGGACTCTGCAGGAACCAGAGACGGCCCTTTTGGTGTGTTAACATGGAGAAGATATGTTTGTGTTCAAACTTCTACACGTCCCAAGTGGTTCCCTTCCAGACGAGTTAACCTAGATCATGAGCTGTTATGTGACAGATACTTAACATGACAGTGCCCAGGATCACGTGGGGTCAATTGAAACAACTAGAGACACAGGCCTCAGCTATGATAACACAACTGAGGCTGCCTCCTACCCCAGGGAACATTTTTCTGGCATATTTCACTATTGTTGCCCGTAATGGCAGTCAGGTACCCCAAGGGCTGCTTTGCAGCCTTTTTCTCCTTTTATTTCTCCCAAGTACAGTACAGCCACAGTTTATTGGGCTCATGTCTTAAACTCACCTGAGTTTAAGCCCCTGACATGGTGGGACTTGGAGACCCCTCTGTCTACCAATGACTTGACATGAACTGGAGGAGTACGATTGCCTCCAGGTTCCTGGCAAAGAAATGGAACAGAATGGTTTAATATCAGTCAGTAATCTATCATTCCTCTAATCTCCCTGTGGGTGTTACCAAATTGCATAATACAACATGGTACATTCCCATGATCACCCAAAAATATCAACTGGTTGTGTTTGGTCTTGTCATTTTCTGTCACTTTTACTTTCCAGGATGGATCTGCCAATTGATGACTTCCCAACACCATTATAAAAAGACACTGGCTACAGCTTACGTCTTTCTCCTCACACTACGTCTCTAATTTTAAACAAACAAAAGAGGGGAAACGTGGGGGCTGGGCCTAGAAGAAAGGATGCATGGATAGAAAGAACATGAGCAGGGTGAATGAAGGGTCAGGCAAAAACACCTGCCCAAAGTTGCTTGTTTGCTGTGTGTGAAGGTCAGCTAAAGACAGCTGACCTGTGTGGAAGTTGTTAAATTAGCAAACGGCCCTGACCCTTTGCACGTGTCCTTGGAAATAAATATAGGAAGGAACTTAGCTGAGGAGGCCATTTTCTTCTGACTTTGGCCTCTTCCCTTCTCTCAAAACACCTTGTATTTCGAGTAATTCTCATTCCTTTGCTACTGAGCTTAGGAGAGAAAAGCAGGAAACTGTATGGACAATTCATATAGAGTGGGAAAGAATGTTCTAACTATGACTCAAAATCCAGAACCCTTGCAGGAAAGACTTAACTCTCAACATATAAAAATTTAAAAAATATTTCTGCGTGTCAAGAAATACAAAAGGACCCGGTGTGGTGGCTCATGCCTGTAATCCTAGCACTCTGGGAGGCTGAGGCAGGCAGATTGCTCGAGGTCAGGGGTTCGAAACCAGCCTGTGCAAGAGCGAGACCCCATCTCTACTATAAATAGAAACAAATTAATTGGCCAACTAATATATATAGAAAAAATTAGCTGGGCATGGTGTCGCATGCCTGTAGTCCCAGCTACTGGGGAGGCTGAGGCAGTAGGATTGCTTGAGCCTAGGAGTTTGAGGTTGCTGTGAGCTAGGCTGATGCCACAGCACTCACTCTAGCCAGGGCAACAAAGTGAGACTCTGTCTCAAAAAAAAAAAACAAAATACAAAAGGCAACACAGGAAAAATATTTGTAATTCTATCATAGACAAAGGCATACACTTGCTAAAGCATACAAATTGTTAAAAATAATGAAAAATTGGCAAAGGTTATGAAAAAGGGAAATGCAAATATCTCTAAAACAAACATTCTCAACCTCATTTATAATGAAGGAAAAAATTATATCTACTTTGAAATACCATTTTATCTTATCACATTGGCAAAAACTTAAAAGTTTGAGAAAACACTTCCTTAGCCTATAGGAAAACAGATCTCATATATTGCTGATTGAAATATATAAGTGCAATTCTTAAAAATTTGGCAATACCTATTGGAATTACAGGAATCTTTCACAATGTGACATATTTCTCTGATATATTTACATAGGTGAAAAATGATATGTAGGTTGAGCATTCCAAATCTGAAAATCCAAAATTTAAAATGCTTTAAAATCCTAAACTTTTTGAGTACCAACATGGAGACTGAAAGACTGTCATTTTTTGTTGTTGCTGTGGTTCAACAGCCAATACAGGTATTCTGGCCATGCTACTGTGCTGCTTCATTACCCTGAACACATTTTTTTCACTGGATTAATGGTATGTCAGACTTTTACCAAATACTTGTGTGTGAATAAGTGTAAGAAAATGTTTGCTTATCAGCAGCATGTAAATTCAAAGTCAGGAAGGATAGTGATGCCAAACCACCACAGATTGTCCACATGGGTGGCTGAGATAATGATACATTTGTTTTCTGATGGTTAAGTATACACAAACTTTGTTTCATGCACAATATTAAAAATGTATAAAATTCAGGCTATGTGTGTAAGGCATATATGAAACATAAATGAATTTTGTGTTTAGACTTGAGTCTCATCTTCAAGATATCTCATTATGTATATGTAAATATTCCAAAATCCAAAAATCCCAAATCCAAAATACTTCTAGTCTCAAGTATTTTGGATAAGGGACACTCAACTTGTGCATGCACAATTTATTGCACATACTGTCTAATAGCGAAACTTTATGTTTATGATATTAAAACATGCATGATATGAGACAGATCAAGTAAATTATGGTTGATTAGAACTGGGATCATTGTCTTTATTTTCATAGGTATACCACAAACCTGACATTTTTATTTTAAGGTACATTATTATATGTAATTAAAATTATCAATATGCACTACAATTAAAAACAGCATAAATTAACAAAAACCTTATAAAGAAATGAAATAAAAACTTGTGTAAGCATTTCTCATTAACTTTGTGAATTTCTGAACAAAATGGAAGAGTTTTATCAAGAAAAGGAGAGAATGAGAAAGATTCTGTTAGAGTATATCATCAAATAATGTTTTTTGGAGAGTATATGAGTGGTATATTTTATAAGATTTTCAATAACAAAGTAACTCTTGGTTGCCTTCAGAATCGAATGACAAATTGTCTGGAAATTAAATTCTTAGATCAAAATCTTTTTCCTTCAAACTTTCATTGATAGGACCTCTGTCACACCAGTACTAGACCAGGTGATATTCGCACGCACACACAAACACACCCTTTTGTTTCAATATTATGTATGTAATTATTTCACTAAAAAATTTCTTCTCCACCATCCTGTTAACTCCATGAGGGACTATATCTGTTTGTCTCCTATTTACCTAGGTCTGTGTCAGACATAAAGTAAGCATACAATAAATATTTCTTGAAATGAATAAATGAGCAAATAGGCAAATTCAAAAAAAATATACAAAAACTCTGTATGTACTTCTTTTTATAAATGGAGTTAAAGCAAAGGGTTATAAGAAAAGGTACATTTTGCTCTGTAGCAAATAAGCTGTATATTCTAAGTATATGCTTAAAGAATGTTTTATTCCTGTTTTAAATTTGGTAAGAATTTATGAAGCTTTTTATATTCTGTACCACAGAACTTTTTAAAACTTGGAATCATTGGATTCAAAATTTAAATATTATTAAAATGTAATTATGTCATTCAGCAGTGCAAAATCTTGGGCAGAGATGTAAATAACAATAGCTAATACAAAGTGCTTCCCTTTGTGCTAGACAGTTTTCCAGGAGCTTTATGCACAGTAACCAATTAATCCCAAATTAATTCCATGATGTTAGGTTAATTGTATAGATGAGAAAAAAGAGATTAGAAAAGTTGTACAAAGTAAAGAATCTATGTGAGAGGGAAGAGACTGGGTGCTTAAGATAAATATCATGTATGTTATGTAAAATATGTATGCATATGCATAGAACAGACATATAGAAAGAGCTTAGCAAAGGTTATTTTCAGGGAGGATTAGAGGACAAGGATCTACAATGTGAGGGAGATTAATATTTTATTATATACTTAACCTTTAATATTTGAAAGGTTTGCATATGCATATATCACAATGTCAGTTAAGAAAAGAGCACTTTGCTACCCTGAATGTGTGTTATGTTCCACTTGGCAAGGGATGCCAAGTGAAAGGAGGAAAACCAAGGCCCAAATTGTCAATATCACAGTCTTGCACGTGGTCAGCTCTGTTTAACAAAGCATTTAAGGTAATTTAGAAACACAAAGATAAGTATTTTATAAATGTTTTTTCTATGCCTTTATAGGTAAACATATTACAAAATGAAGTATAGTTGGTTTCCTTTTATTTGAATCATTTTATACATTAATTTGTTTTAGAAAACCATTGCAAAATTTTCTCCTATTGTAACTCACGACTGTGTGCTAGTCACTTTAATAAGAGAATAATTGTATTATTCTTTACATGTATTGATATTCAAAAGTATTTCTTTGAAAACAGCACTGCCTTTTTGATCCCCATAATTCACATCTTATAATCATTCAACATCAAATAGGGAGCAATGCTCATCATTTTCAAAGCCACACTGAGATGCTATGATGAGATATCATTCTAAGATATTGTTTCAGTTGTCAGGAAAACAACTCTGAGAAGGTCTAGTCTATTTGTTTCAAAATGATTTTTCTTTTTTTTTTTTAAGCTAAAATCTGAAAGACAAGAAATAAATAACAGAAGACAAGACTTGTAGTAGAATGAGCCACTACTGTTATTTTGTCTCCACCTCAATCAGACTCACCAAAGAAATAAAAATTCACAGGACATGGTATGGGATGGGATTGGGAGTGCTTTTTTCACTTTTGAGATAAGTAGAGGCAAGCAGGGACCTTGAATCCTAAGGAGAACACTCAATCTCTATAAAATCCATTTTATGTAAATATATATTTGATGTAAAAAGTATTCCATCATTTGGAGAGAGAAAGGCTAATAACTGACATTTAATATTTTGCAACCTACCTTGCACTCTTCATCACATTTAATGTCCCATTTCATAAATGTTCAAGATGATGAAACAGGTGCCACAAGAGTAAATGACCTGTTCAAAATAAAACACCTTGGAAACAGAAGTGAATGTCAAATCCAGCACTTATCAATTCTAAGTCCAGAGTGCAGTGTACAATATTTATTCACCAAGTATTTACTTAGCACATCTCTAGAAGATGCTCTACTGTAGCCTTGTGATGCAATTCTCTAAAGGAGCTTACCTTTCGGTGGGAGACATTGATGGTATCAAGTGAGCTAACTTATTTTTTAAATTATATTTTGTGGCAAATTATATGATGGAAATGAAGAGAGTGCTGTGATTAAGACTGAAGTGACCCATCTTTTAAATGGGAGTTAGGGAAGTTCTCATGGAAAATGTGGCTTTGAGCAGAGCACCAAAGGCTTAGAAGTCCTCCACAGAGAGCAGGAGGAAGAATATTAAAAGCTGAAGGAAAAGCAAAGTCCCTGAGTTTCTAAGAATGAACTTACTGTGTTTGTGGAACAAAAAGGAAGCCAGCATACTGGACAGTGGAATCAGAGGGAGAATGACATGAATTAAGTC